CTGTCTAGATCCCTGCCCTCAACTCCTTGTCCAGTGTCTCCTGTCTCCAGCAACATTGATAATCAACATTAATCATGTGTACAACATCTCCTTTTAACATGTTTTAAATTCAAAATATTAATTTTACTATAAGTAAAATATCTTAGAGAAACAAAGGTTTATTGCTGTATTTTTCTTGTTTAAAAACACGAAGCATTATTTTTTTTTTTATTTTCTTGATGATTTCAGTGTTTGAAGTTCCTGTTTGGTTTTTGTGAGTGTTTGCATAAATTGGTATGTTTACGGTATGGGTGAATAGCATCTTCCTTTCAGCTGTTTTTGAAATGCAGTTTCTCCCTCGGTATAGGATTGTACAATGTATGGTGATTCTCAGTTGGGTTCTGTGTCCAGTAGCCTCATGAATTGTAAATCAAGTCCCTATCCACACAGAATGTCTTTTGTAAAAAGATTCCCAGGTGATTTTAATTTGCATTCAAGGTTCATGTAATCAGAAGGCTGCTTTTAAAAAAATTGAATGTGTTGCTTCGAGGTGTGGTTACCTCATGTCTTTAGAAAATAAAAATGAAAAAAAAAAGGAAAGAAAATAAAAATGATACGGTCATCAGTATCTACTCTGCTTTTTAATTGAAATCTTTTATAATTAAAAGTGTTACTAAAATCACACAGCTATGATGGAAAGTGATTGTGTCTCCTCAAACTCAAAAGCATGGGCGCCATAATATTTCCAAGTGAAAAAGGAAATGCTGGTGTTTGTACAATTGGTATTCCTGTACTTACACTGCAGCTGCCAGATAGCCAGATTCAAACTTTATTCACAGCATAAAAACGAGACTCTAAGGCATTTTCCACAGATGTGAGTGGTTGATATGAAGAAAGATACTCTGTTTTAAACCATGTTGCTAGGAAACAGTTTGGAGATTAAATCTCCTACAGAGACATCTTCCACCCTGTAGGAAGGAAGGAAGGGTGATGGCATGCTCTGACTTTCAAAAAGAGGTTTATTCATTGACTTATCTTTATGTGTACATATATATGTGTCTGTGTGAGAATGTGTTCACCATGTTTGTGCAGGTACCTGTGGAAGCCAGAGGGCATGAGATCCCCTGGAACTTGAGTTACAAGTAGTTGTGAATCACCTGAGATGGTTGATGAGAACCAACGTGGTCAACACTCTTAGCTGCTGAGCTTTCTTTCCCACCCCAATATGCTCTAATTTTAAAAGTAGAAAAAAAATCTGTTAATTTGCATCTATAGGCAATTTATTGTGATTTTCCCTCAACAGCTTCATGTTGGATTATTTTTTTTAATTTATGTTATGCAAAAACTTGTAGAATTCTTTTAAAAAACATATGTAAGGATAAAATTGTAAGCATCCAGTGATATTTCCCAGCATAGCTACTATTAAATTGTTTATAGCCACAATGATAAACTCACCTCAAATCTTTCCTTAATAGTTTTCTTACAAATGAAATAGTATGTCCTTCGTATTAGGAAAATTCAGCTATATAGAAAATATAATGAATCTACAAAGCTACTATGGTGTCACCACACAGAAATAGCTAAATTTTGGTGAAATCCCATCATGATTTACTATTTTCAGATAGTACATACTAGTTTATGGTTTTCAAAATGGATTTTTACTTTAACTATGTTCTATGAATCCTTGCCTTTTAACATATACATTTGTTTAATTCATTTATACTTATTGCAATTTTTATGTACTAAGATAGCTATCAATCTATCTAAAATTTATTTTATGAGTTTTATTGCCCTTAATTTTTTCTTTGTCTTCTTTTCTTACCTTATTATTTATTTTCTTTGTGTTTTTAAAGACAGAATTTTACTATATTGCCAATACTTGCCTTGAAAATTAAGTTCTAATTTTCCTACCTTAACCCTTTGTTGCCGGCATTAGAGGTGTGTATTATCTTACTTGGTATTTCTGCCCCCTCTTTTTTCAATTTTTGTATATTTTATAATTTGAGGTCAGACTGTATCCAGTCTATTTTTTAACAAAGTACTATATAAAATATTTTTTGTGATTCTAATACAAGAAAGTTCAATGTTTTATGATTTTGCTCCATTTTAATGTAAATAAATCAAATTAAGTCATTAGAATACGTTTTTAGGGTGAATTACTGTGTCAAAATATCTGAACTCTCTTCAGTCCTTTGATTTTTTTAAGTTATTTTCTCAAAATGTTGTCTTAGTTAATACTTTTTAGTGGTGTAGGAAAATTCAATCATTCTGTTAATTTTAGCACTGAGTTTTACTAACTTTAATTTTATAATTATATAATTTTATTCATATATATAAAAGCACATTTAAGTTTGCATTTTGTATGTGTATATGATGAAAGTATAAGTATGGAATAGGTATATGTATGATATATGTGTTACTCTGTGTGTGTGCGTGCAAGCAGGTGTATGGTATACAGGCGCACATGCGTGAGGCAGCCAGAGGTGTATACCAGGTACTTTCTTCAGTTGTTCTCTAGCTCACATTTTGAGACAGATGCTTTCACTGCACCTAGATCTTACTGATTCAGCCAAACTGTCAAGTTCCAAGAACATGCCTATTCTATGTGCTGGGGTTACAAGCATGTCAGTGTCCCAAGCATCCATGTAGATGCTGTGAGATGAACCAAGGTTATCATGTTTGTACTGCAAAACACTTTCCCAACTAAGCCATCTTCCCAGCCTTGGTATTTCTAATTTACAATTATTTGGTATTTATTCTTTCATGTACATTTCCAACCATGCCTACCAATTATGCACCTATGATGATTATACAGTTATTCACACCTTTAGCTGTGAATTCTTTAGAACTTTGCCTACAACCAATTTCAGACTTTTACCCAATTCATATTTTGGCTTTAGAATTTGTTTGTAATTTTTATGTAAGAGAGAAAAAAATCTCTGTTTCATTTTCATCTGTTGCGGGAGTTTTACATGATTATTTGCTTTGACTGTAAGTTTTATTTTAAAGTGGTTTAACTTTTATATTTGAACATTGAACTCATCTGAGTTTATATTGACATATGAAGTGAGATTAGAATGCATATTTTTCCAGTTAGAAAATTTCATTACAATAGTTCTTCCTGATAAATATTTTATGTCTTTAATTTCTTTCTTTATTTCTGTCTTTACACAGTAATTATTCAGTAGAGAGCTGTTCAGTTTCCACGAGTTTGTAAGCTTCCTGGTGTTTCTGTTGTTGAAATCCAGCTTTAATCCACAGTGGTCTCATAGGATGCAGGGAGTTATTTCAGTTTTCTTGTTTCTGTTGAGACTTGCTTTGTGACCTGGTATGTGGTCAATTTTGGAGAAAGTTCCATGAGGTGCAGAGAAGAAGGCACATTCTGTTGTATTTCAGTGAAAATGTTCTGTAGATACCTGTTAGGTCCATTTGGTTTATAATGCCTGTTAGCTCCAGTATTTCTTTGTTTAATTTTTGGATAGATGACCTGTCTAATGGTGAGAGTGAGGTATTGACATCTCCCACTATCACTGTGTGAGGATTGATGTGTGATTTAAGCTTTAGTGGTATTTCTTTTGCAAATAATGTGCGTGGATATTTGCCTTCATGGGTGTCTGTTAATCACATACATGTCTGGTGCCCATGGAGGCCAGAAAAGGGAATTGGTTCCCCTAGAACTGGAATTACAGATAATTGTGGGCTCCACGTGGGTGCTAGAAACTGAACCCAGGTCCGTTGGAAGAACAGCTAGTGCTCTTTCATACTGAGCCATTTCTCCAGCCTGGATGAAAGGTATTTGCCAAATAACACTGCCTACTTCATAGAGAAGGCAGCAAAGTCTCTAAAGGCTTTGTAAAAGGATTATGGAAATATCTTTTCATTTTAAGAAACAGAACAGTCTCACAAGGTGAGCAGCTCTCTACAAACAAAACAAAGCCAAAGGATTTGAAAGATACAAGAAAGAGAACAACATCTAAAAAGAAAACATTCACTGGGGGATTCTGTGGCCTTGCTCATGCAGCTGTACTTACCAGCATTACCCTGCTGTGGTGTGCAGGCCTGTAGCAGCAGCTGCTTGCTCTGTGAGGCTTGGCAAGAGATCCTTTGAAAATATGTTAACTTAATATATGAAAATAATTTGTTCCTATCTAGATTATTCTCTGTAAGATTTCAACTTGGTGTCAGGCAAGTCACACCCATCTGTCCATTTAATGAATTCATAGTGGAGGAGGAATTGGTGAGAAATAGCCAGGCCTATATTTGGGAACACTCTCTACATCAACTCTGTTTTAAATCATGAAATGGAGAGGAAGAATAAGGGTGGGATTGTTATGAGTAGTTTAAAATGAAGAAACAAACACAAGCTATGGAGGCAGTTAAATGGCTCTAGTGTGAAAGGGGAGGGGCCAAGCAGAGGCCATCAGTCTTTCCAGACTTTCCCTTCATCCCTCCAGATGTCCAGGTATCCCACAGAAGCCAAATATTCCTTCACATCACTGCCAGATAGAAACTTTGATGCCCCTGGAGACCAAGACTGGGGGCTTGAAGCGAGACAGTGAGAATGCTTAATTGTAAAGAGCAACACTTAACCATGAAGGAATTCCAAGAAATAATGAGCGTGCAACAGAGAAACCTGGCTTCTGTTTTGATTTCTCAGACATCTGGAGGGGAAAGGCATTTGAGTTGTAATCCCAAAATGAATGAGCAGATTACTAAAACATTTGTAGCAAACCGTAGGACCTTAGTGTGAGAAAACAGTGCAGCTTATTTTTGTGACTTAGTGCTCAGTCACTGAAGGAGAGAAAATGTAATTGCATTTCTAGTCTCAGCAAGAATTCTGGTTTCTGTCTGGGAAAAGAGGAAAATTCTTGTGTGTGGTCTTAACAGTATGAGTGTACTTAATGGCACTGACTTGAAGTGGTTAAACAAGTGGGTATTATGTTGTCTGTGCATCACCACAATAATGAAGACTTATCCTCAGTCCTTCTGAATGAGCCCTCTCATATGAAAAGTGGAGATGTTCAGAGCACAGTTCTCAGTGTGTCATTGTAAGTCTTAAAGGAAGTGCTTCGCACTAAGAGCAGAGTTGCACTGTTACCTATGGTCTGGTGGTTACAGAAATGAAGCAGCTGAACATGAAGATGATGGGGTGAAGATGCTGGGGGTGAAGATGCTGGGGGTGAAGATGCTGGGGGTGACGATGCTGGGGTGACGATGCTGGGGGTGAAGATGATGGGGTGACGATGCTGGGGTGACGATGCTGGGGTGAAGACGCTGGGGTGAAGATGATGGGGTGACGATGATGGGGTGACGATGCTGGGGTGAAGATGCTGCGGTGAAGATGATGGGGTGACGATGCTGGGGTGAAGATGCTGGGGTGACGATGCTGGGGTGAAGATGATGGGGTGACGATGCTGGGGTGAAGATGCTGGGGTGAAGATGCTGGGGTGAAGATGATGGGGTGAAGATGATGGGGTGAAGATGATGGGGTGAAGATGATGGGGTGAAGATGATGGGGTGAAGATGCTGGGGTGAAGATGCTGGGGGTGACGATGCTGGGGTGACGATGCTGGGGTGAAGATGATGGGGTGAAGATGATGGGGTGAAGATGCTGGGGGTGACGATGCTGGGGTGACGATGCTGGGGTGACGATGCTGGGGTGAAGATGATGGGGTGACGATGCTGGGGTGAAGATGCTGGGGTGACGATGCTGGGGTGACGATGCTGGGGTGAAGATGATGGGGTGACGATGCTGGGGTGAAGATGATGGGGTGACGATGCTGGGGTGAAGATGATGGGGTGACGATGATGGGGTGACGATGATGGGGTGACGATGATGGGGTGAAGATGATGGGGTGACGATGCTGGGGTGACGATGATGGGGTGAAGATGCTGGGGTGACGATGCTGGGGTGAAGATGCTGGGGTGAAGATGCTGGGGTGAAGATGCTGGGGTGACGATGATGGGGTGACGATGATGGGGTGAAGATGCTGGGGTGACGATGATGGGGTGACGATGATGGGGTGACGATGCTGGGGTGACGATGATGGGGTGAAGATGATGGGGTGAAGACACTGGGAAATAGCTTCTACCATTTGACATCATTGTAAAGCTGCATGACTTCCCTTGTCTCTGGAAAGGATGTTTATTTTCAGTCTTCTTTTGTATAGATTAATCTCTGGAGGGTCCTTCCTCTGGGTGGACAGAGGAGTTACAGAGAAGAAAGTTACCTCTTTTGTGGGGAAGAAAGAGAGTCTAGAACATGCCAGAGAGACTTTATTTATGAGCCTTAAAAGAAAATAAAAACATTCAGAGTACCCAGACTCTGGGTTAAAATCTTTCAGTTAAGCACACTTCAGGGTTAAGTACAAAATTTCTGTCCTCAAAAGTTGTCTTATAATTAATTTTCCTGAAGGAGTTTTACTTGGCTTTCAAATTACCATCGTACCTGACTCTAAAGAATGATCTGTTGATGTACACAGTGAAGGTGAAAAGGAAGGTTTCTCACTGAGCCATACAATTTTAGGCAAAATAATTCATTTCTCTACTAAATATCTAAGTAGCCATTCATTCTTCATTAAATCATATCTGAAATTCTTAAGCTGGGATGATCTTGTTAAATAGTTTTGAAAATTTTTAAAGTAATTTCTTTTTGCATGTATTTTCGTGTGTGTGTGTGTGTGTGTGTGTGTCTGTCTGTCTGTCTGTCTGTCTGTGTGCCACAGCATGCATATGGAGATCAGAGGATAACTGGCAGAAGTCAGTTCTTTTGTTCAACCATGAGGGTTTGGGGAATCAAATTCACATCATTAGGCTTGGTGACAGGCACTTTACCTACTCAGTTACCTCACTAGCTTTTAATAAGTTTCTTTTTCAAAAAAAAAATCAAGAGGAATAAATAAACAGTGAAAACTTTGCACCTGTCTGCCTTCACGTGATAATTTTATTGTGCATTGTTTAAGAAAAGTTTTTAGAAATGTAGGTTTGGGCACATCTTGCACTAAAATCTAAATATCTAAATGGTTACTGTACACATACTCATTGGTATTCTCTTATTAGAGTTCAAAAATGAATGCGTAGCAACCAGTAGACCTACCCAGCTATGAACCACAATAACTCCCTGCATGGCACAATAAACCCTGAGGCTACAATAGTGGTGTGCATATCTTGGCAGAAACCAACAGCTCTCTACTTGGATAGAAGACCTGCTCAACATTGGGAAACCATGCCTAGTGCTGGAAACCAGCTAGTTAATAGGGACTAGAGAAATCATGGATCCTGGAGGCAACTTACAACTGACACTTTACTAAACCAGCAAAATTCCAAGGTGTATTCTAAATATTTGTCCTTATCCTCACGAAGAAGTCAGCCCTGAGATTATATACATATAAAGGAAATACACGGATTGAACAGTTTTATTTATGTGTGTGTGTGTGTGTGTGTGTGTGTGTGTGTGTGTGTGTGTTAACAATGAAAGGAAAGGAAATGAAAGGAAAATAAGCCATGAATTTGAAGGAGGTGCTTAGGAGGGCTGGAGAGAGGAAGAGAAAAAGGAGAAATGCTATAATGATCATTTCAAAAACATTATTATTAATGCACAAATGCTTGTAAAATTTTCAAAGTTAAAGTTCATTAAAAAAATAAAATTTTCTTATGCTGGATTCCAGGATGAGATTCCAGGATGTATTAGTTCGCACATGGCTGTGACAACCAACATGCTGTCAATGAATTCTTCCCTTTTGTTCAAAACCTCCATTGTCACAGGCCACACCATGTTCTCAGGAATACGGCTTGTCTGTGCCATGTCTCATAACCCCAGCAACGACTCTCTAATACTTACATGATTATTAATATCACTCCCTTAATGTAGGTGAGAGTAAGAAGTCACGAAGAAGCCTTTTGCATCTGTGACTGGGTGAAGTATTCAATGACTGTGCTTTCACCTGTTCGGCACCAAGGCAGGCACCTGGAACAGCTGCTGATATCCAAAGCTTGTGCAGAGGTGCAAGAAAGAGAGGATCAGAATGGTATCTCAGGGGAGCCATGACAGCAGGGACCGAAGCCTTTTCCTAGATGTGGTTATCTTCACTGAGGACTAAAGCTGTACAGAGAGACGAGGGCAGCTCAGGAAGTCATTAGCGCTTGAAGTATAAGTTGAGTGAGCTCTCCCATCTGGCAGTGTGTCTTCACAGGTTTTGTCCTTATGTGCGTGTCTGTGAGAGCAGAGGGGAAAAAAGTTGAATCATTCTGCCTTGCTGGCATGGAGTGTTTCTGCTGTCAAGGCTTATTAAATCCCACTTCGGGTTATTAGATTTGATTCACTGGGCTGGCATCTCAGCACGGGGGTCTCTGTAGTCATCCAGCTATGTCACATCAGTTTGATGTGTACCTGGGCAAAAATGAAAGTTAAAAGCACATTTAGTCAGATCATTATAGTTCGGTAAGAGAGCCCCATGTAAAAGTTAGAATATCTCAGGCATTAGTCAAAGCAGCAAATCAAAATGCCCTTACCTTCCTTTCTCCCTTCCATCCATTTCTCTCTCTCTCTCTCTCTCTCTCTCTCTCTCTCTCTCTCTCTCTCTCTCTCTCTCTCTCTCTCTCATTGAGACAGGGTCTCTCTATACAGTTTTGGTTATCCTGGAACTCATTCTGTAGACCATACTGGCCACAAACTCACAGACAGCCATCTGTCTCTGCTTCCCAAGAGCTAGGATTAAAGGTGTGTGCCATCATGCTCGGCTCCAACTGCCCCTTGCGTTTCAATATGGAAAAGTCAGTCAGATGTAGGTATTGTGGATATTCATTTTTCACACAAACTGAAGGACAGATGAAGTGCAGTGCAGAAGAATTTTAAGAGCTGGGGTATTACATGATGCATATCCATGGATTTTATAGTACATTTGCTTAAGGGTTGGCCTCCAAACACATCTACACACAGTGGTTCTAGGCACAGATTTTCTCTGAAATTTCAAATTTAACATACTATAGCAATTCTGCAACTCTGAGATGCCTAAATATCCCCCTGGACATTTGATTAAAGTGCAGATATATTGAGTATTCCCAGAAACTCTTAATTACTCTTGGGTGTTGCTCAGGGACATGTCTTATTAATAAGTGGCTAATCTCAACACTACACTTTGAAAAACACTGATTCATAATTATGAGAAGGCAGGCACTGCTGTTTGCGAAGTATCTTCTCTCATGATCTATATCAGATCAAACACAGACAGTATCTTCATAAAAATTAAACAGTAAGTCTATGGGGTTAGACTCTGTCTGCAGTGTTAGAATTCAAGCTCTTATTCTCCTGGTTGTCATGTGTTTCGACTCTTATCATGCAGGCAGATTATGTCGGGATCCTATGGGATAATATGTAAGCTGATGATGTGAGGCACTGTGTGTGTTGTGTGTCTTTTCTCTGATGCGCCCCATGTGTTTGTATCCCTTTATTACTTTAGTATTCTTTTTCATTACCTGACTCCATGCAGGTGCTGGTACCCAGACAGCAGACCGTTTACAGTTTTTCTTCCTGGTACTTGTTTCTAGATCCCACTGAAACTAAGCAAGCTGGACACTTCATTTAGTAGTCATCTGTGCCCCCCTCCTCTCCACCACCACCACCCCCCGCAACAATTCTATGCCAAACCTAGCACAAGGTTCTGGTGATTTTAAAAGAAGTCAAGTCTGACTTTTCTGTTGTAAAAGAAGAGATAATGAATAATAGACAAACGTTTTAAGTCCTGCTTGTTAAACTAGTGTGTCCTTTCTTGATTCAATCAAGGGTTTTTTTTTTTTTTTTTGAATTGCCAGTAATCAAGAAGTCATATTATTTGATTTGCTTATTTTTCCTCTCTCTCTGTTTTTCTTTAGCATCTCAAATTTTTAAAATTTCAAGCTAAATAAGTTGATGCGGTGGATACTATATAAGCTCCATGGAGGGTGATAGTTTCAGATACACCATTCTGCATTCTTTTCCACACATGCACACATTCCTAAAATCTAGGACAAAAGCAATGCTTTGTATTTATGGTAGCACTCAAGAGTGCTGTCTTCCTGAATTTGCAGTGAGTAAGTGTGAATCTAGCATAGCCTCTATTCCACATGGATTTTATTTCCTTGTGGAAAAGAAGTCTCCTAAAAGTATTACAAATGAATACTTACAGTTTAAGTTCCTCTGCATGCATTGTGTGTTTTAAAAGAGTTATTAATCACATATCCAATTACATGAAACATGAGCCATGACCTATCCTGTAAGATGCAAGCTTATCAGCACCCAGTTAATGCCCACATCATCAAAAAGCCTGTAGAGTTTCCCTCACTCACTCCTGACTTGGTCATTTCACACTCTCTTCCATTTACTGCAATGTTTGAATATTGCTTCTCTTTCCCCATATGCTTCACACATTCTGGTGGCAGGATGTTTCAGAGCCAGGCTTTTACCACCTGAAGACCATTGAACTCATAGCTCTACCTCTAGCAGAGCCACATTAGATCATATTCTGGCAAAAAATAAATAAATAATGCTACTTACAGTTACTTTTGGAAAAGAAATGCTTTCCTTGGGTGTGCACTGTATTCTTTACTCAGCATTTTTACTAAATACATTTGACTATAACAACAAGCTGTTCAAATTTCAGTAATGATACTGCATCAAAGGTTAAACCAAAGTCATAATCCTTAAAGATAGTTTAAAGGTGTCTCTGGGAAGCTAAAGAACATTGACAATGTACTGCATTAAAATTGTATTTAATAATTCAATAGTTGACTGGAGAAGTATAAGATTTACATGAAACTGACTAATGAGCTTAGCATTTAAATGTATACTATGCCCTCCCTCTCAAAAGGATTAGAATTTTTTAAATCCCAAACTAATTTCATTTCCAGAACCTGTCACTCACCTCCTGATTTCAATTTTGCTAATCCTAATAGCTGGTTTCTGAAAATGGAATTCAGACTCCGTTCACAGACTTGGTAGCTGACACCTTGTATGAAGAGACCCCAGCAGCCCTGGGAGACTTTCATATTGATTTCTTGTATTTTTAAAAAAAAAAAACCCTAGTAGAAGGTGATGGTGTCTCTAGCCCATGTTTAACTG